ACACACTATCTAAGAAAGAAAGAGTGGGGAGCGGAACTGACGTACTATGAGTTCATTGAAGAAGATATTATTGTGGAACAGAATTGAAACAATTACGCTTTCTTCTTAAAAAAAACACAAAATAAAAGGCTTACTAGCAATAAAAAGGGGGGGGTGGAATTCTGAAAAGTACAAGAAAAGATGATGGAGTAAATTCCTCCTAATCTCATTCCATAAAAATAGTATTGCTGGCACACTGCTCTGCAGGCGTTTTTCCCGAAGCCTGTGCCCTCCAGGCCTGGGACCGTTATACAACATTCAGTGTTTATGATGCTATTCATAAGTATGCTTTTAATTGCTACTTAACAATCCATTCTGCTGTAATTTTCTTAACCTTGCTCATAGTCTTTGAATAATTAGGTAGAAAAAGCAAGATTTAAATGGGAAGTGTCCAGAAGAGGAATGGTTCTTTACAGGAAATTAAAACACCAAACAACATAGAGCATAGATATTTGAACTCTTAGGTTGTAAAAAATATATATACTGTATTGCACTCTCTGTTTTTGTCAGTGATATAAAAACACAATGAGAATACCTACTTTTTAATATAAGGCTTAAATTATTTTGAGAATTTCCTATGGGCATACCATGTATTTGGATCATATTCACCTGCTTTCTTCCTTGTAACCCAACAGTCTCTCCCAACTCCATTCATTCTTTTTTTTAATAGCTCACTGGTTCTGGTTCACGCTGCCCATGTCATGATGAGTATGAGGCCATCCACAGGAGCGTAGTCTGTCTACTAGGAGATACACTCTTAAAGAATACTGACTCTCAAACCCCTAGGAGCCATCAGCTCTTTACAGCTCATTGGTTAGGAGCTGAGATGGGAAGCTTCATGCTGCAGTGTTGATGGCTTGGTCTTGTGCAATCAACCAAAGTTGCCATGAGTTCATGAGTACAGTAGCCCTGTCATGCCCAAAAGACACTGTCTCACTCCGGTCCTCTCCAACTTCTGTCACTTACAATCTTTCTGTTCCTTCCTTCTAGATAGTCCCTGAGCCTTGGGGGATGGGTCTGTGATGTAGATTTCCCATTTATGGTTTATTTCCACAAACATTCATTGGCTTCACTGACATCATTCTCATTTTATCATCAGAGCAGTTCACCCAAATTTCTATTGTATCTTCATTTCAAGAAAAAGGAAGATGATACCCAGAGAGGACGTGTAAGATAGTCAGACATAGAGTAAGGGGTTGACCCCAGGTCTGTCTGAAGGGAATGCTGTTTTCCTAATTACTATGCTGTACATCCCAAGTTCGCTTCTTAATATGTTCTGTTGAAATCATTAGAAGGCTGTCATTAAAATGGAAACAAATTCCAAACAATAACTCCCTTAATGCTGTCTTAATAGTTTCTCAATTGTTGTGATAAAATACCATGACTAAGACAACTTAATGAAGGGTTACAGTTTGGGGCCTACAGTTTCATAGGGTTGGATTCCACAACCATCATGCCAAGCAGCATGGCAGCAGGCAAGTAGGCATGGCACGAAAGCAGTAGCTGAGAGCTCACATCTTGATCCACAAGCATGAGGCAGAGAGAGCTAACTGAGAATGAAATGGGCTTTTGGAAACCTCAAAGCCCTCACCTCCTCCAAAAACACCCACCTCCTAATCCTTCCACCAACTGGAGGCCATTAACATGAGCCAATGAAAGCCATTCTTCTTCAAACCACTACCTGGCATGATCAGATTAACTTGTTACAAGTCAGTTCTGAAAAAGTCTACTAAAAGCCCAGAACACCTAAGGAAATCATCAGTAAACAAAACCTTTGGTCATGTCTAAAATGTTTAAAATTCAAATATGTTGAAGGGTTTTGTTTTGGGTTTTTTTTTTTTCTGAATTCATTAAGAATGGGGCAGGGAGCTGTGTTAATTGCAGCTACAGCAGTGAAAGTCTGAGTTCTGAGACTGAGTGGAAATTGATGGCGCTAAAAGTATTCTGTAATTAAATGAAAACTGTGCTCTGGAGCTTAATTAGTCTGCTGTGACTTAGTTTAAGTGGAAACAGTAAATCTTGCTGAATCTCATTAAATGGGAGCCCAGCAGCCCCACCTCACCGGAAGTTCTGTTTCCTACAGAGGTAGGATTTATACAGGAACTTCTCTGGTGTGGAAAGCAGGAAAGGTGACCCGAGTGTTCCAGGTATGGAAGCCCTTTATCTTCCATTCAGATTATAGAATGCTTCAAATCCCAAGGACTCTGGAGAGGAGGGTGTAGATGACTTTCTAATGATGTAAAGACACTGACCTCTCAATTGGCCAGGTGGAGAGATGGGAGTCAGCAAACCGTTGTAAGATTCCCTTGGAGGGCTCTTTTTTCCCACAGACTGAACCTGCATCTTTGAGAAGCTGTTAAAGAAAACATTCCCCTCATATTTTCTTCAGACTTCTCAGTATTTCATCATAATCAGGCTTAACAGGACTTAAAAAGAAGAGAAAGCAATTTATTTGGGGGTTTTGTTGTTATACTTTACCAATTAATTATAAAAGCCAAACATTTGCTGGGAAACAAGATGGCGGCGCCGGGAGGACACACTGTGTCTGAGGAGCAGGACAGCAGTGTGGGCACAGCAACCAGGAGACCGAACTCTGGGACCTAAAACACCAGCATTTGTGATTGCCAGGTGAGAGGAAATCTACGGTGTGGAAATCAATTCGGACTGACCTCAGGTCACCCAGTCAAAAGGTCCTGGGGACCAACAGGCACACAGCCACCAGCCCAAATCAGAGCACACAGCCTCCGAGGTGCCCTCAGCCTTGAAGTCCTTGCTAGAGCAATAAGACAATTGAAGGAGATCAAGGAGATACAAAGGAAAACCATTAAAGGACCATTAAAAAAAAAAAAGCCAAACATTCTTAGCACATAAAATTCAGGAAATACAAAGTTTGGAGCAAGAACCTCTCCCCTCCATCGGCCTCTCCTTCCCTTGGCTAACACGCTAGTGTGCTTTCTCTTATTACCCAGGGCTGCTGCTGTTTGAGATTCTCCTGTTTGTACACTCAGTGTCTACTAGGAAGACACATTTAAAAGAAAATTTTCTTTTCTTCCCCCACCATAGCCTGTATGCTGGTGATCATTCACTTTGCTTCTAGCATCTCAGACATATTGTCAGTCTGCCTGCTGCTTCCATGAGGGAAGGCCTCCGAAAGCCATAACCCATTTCTGTGGTAGCAATGAATGTTCCAGAACTGACACAGAGGACATGAAGTAATCACATTGGCTGACCCTTATACCCTAAATGCTTCGGTCCAAAATAAATAGGGTTGTGTTAATCGTTCAGGCAACTCTGAAGAAGAATCCTGGAGTCGGGTTGGTACTGCTCAGGCGTACCAGCCGGGTGAAAAAGAGGTTGCCCTCAGCAAGGGTGATGATGGTTTAACAATTCACTGGACTTATGATTCTGGATCCATTTGAGATGTGCAGGGGAAAAGCCCAGATCTCAGCTCCAGACGGAGGTGGCCAGAATACCTCCACCTGCTTCACACTGTTTAAAGAAAACAAAATTATCTCCAAAGAACGTGACATCGCTGGGACACAAAATCCGGGTGCTAGGGAAAGAGAATATTTCTGTTGCTAACAGCCATGGGGCCCAGAGTGGGGCACAGAGTGGTTCCCAGAAGTTCAGCATCTGTTTCCCTGCCAGTGGTAATCAGGATTCCAGCCAGTGCACCCCTCTTCCCTTCCTCATGATTCTGAGGTGAAATCAGTATGCTAGGGAGTTACCAGGATGTGTGCATCAGCCAAACCCACAGTCCCTCCATTTTTCTCTACCCCTGAGACATACCACTCTCACTTCAATGGCTCCTAAATCCTTTGAGAGACTCACTCCTTCCTACTTACTCTGCCCCCCTAAAGTGCTCTCTTCAGGCTTAATAACATTGAAGCCAACCAGGGGCAGCTCCCACGGAGAGGTCTACCTCCGTTGAGTAGCCACACAAAGTAAGAGGATGGATGACCCGGCTTCCCTGACAGGAAAACAATATATACTGACATACAGTCGCCCTGCCACAGAAAAGATGAAGGTGCATAGCCAAGCACAGGTCCTCCCCTCCTGCACCAAGAGGCAAAGCTTGATATAAGTAGGTGATCCTGGCCTTTGAGGCCAAGTGTGAGTCCCTCCCTGGGGCAATAAACACAGACTCAGGCTCACTTTCCTCCTGGTATGGTGCTTGGCACAGGATAAGGTCAATTCTTCTGGTTTGTACCCAGGCTCCAGCCAGCCCAAAAGAGCTCTTCCAATTCTCTATATATGCAACTCAGGGCCAGGCCTCCCTTCTTAAAATGCATCTGAACCCATCCTTAAGTGAAGAGGAACCCCAATTTGGGATAAGTCAATTTAATATTTAACTTCATTTAGCGTCACAATGGTGTGTAAGTGGCATCCATTCAATACGAACTGCCAATATGCAGTAGGGGCCCCTCATCATGCTGGGCAGCACTCGCCAGTCCAGCACGCAACCACAAGAGTAAACGCTCAGTACTCCACAGTGGGCTGTGCCGTTAAGGCACGGTGCTCACAGGTTAGGTTCGTTAATTCATTAGTGTCTGTTTAGAATGTCTTCAACTCGCTGTGGGTTTATTTGGTGATAACTCCATCAGAAACTGAGGAGCAGCTTCAGTGGGTGGCTAGCTGATTTGTTGGTATAGATGATGTTAGTGGCTATTTTTCTGCTGGAGAAAAATCACAGCTGGGCCTGGGAATGCCGCTCAGTTGGTAAAGTGCTTGCCTAGACCGTACAAAGCCCTGGGTTTGACCCCTGGCATTACATAAACCTTGTGTCCTGCACATGGGTACCCTGCAGAAGATCCCCTTTCCTCCCTGCTGAGTGTCATCTGCCTGAATCATCCTCTTCCTCCTCCCATTTGAGCAGTGAGGCAAGCTATATCTCTGAGAATAAACCAGGTAAACACAGCGTGATTTTCAGTCCACCTCCCTGTATTTTTCCTGTTTCTTAGTCAGATACGGAGTTCTGGGACAAGATGCAGGCCGAATGGGAAGAAATGGCTCGGAGAAACTGGATATCTGAGAACCAGGAGACTCAGAACCAAGTCACCGTCTCGGCCAGTGAGAAGGTAACAGTCTGTCCTCTAACGCTGACGAGTGTCCTCAGACTCCTCAGATCATATGTTATGCACCAGCCACTAACCACTTTGTGAAAAGCCTAAGAATTGAAGGCAGCTTCGTGTCACTATGACCTAGAAGAAACTATGATAGATGGAAACCAGTAACTCTGGTATTTGGGGGCAGCTGCCCTGGAATGAAGTGTCCCTGTTCATGACTGTTCCCACAGTTTGCCACCTGCGCAAAACCTGCCCTGTGGTCAGGTACAGAACTTTGAGAGTGTGTTGTACAAGAACGGGGCTAACCGCACAGTGGCTCATCACCTGTCCTGCTCGTATAAAACACAGCGGGTGATTCAGAGGCTCGGTTTGTATCTCATGGTGGTATCATACCACCAGCAAAGGCTGTCCATGCAAAGAATGTGCTCCATACAACCGGACCAAGCCCAAAGGGTTATCCAAAGATATTCCCCTGATAACAGCCCTGGAAAATAGGAAGGTACAGTGAACTAGCCAGATTGCCCATTAAGGTCCAACTGCTTTGAGAGCTCTTCCTTTAAAACCGGTGTTTTTAATTTAAAATTTAATTTAATTATAATTAACTTGGAATCACTACAAGTACTCTCAACAACAGAAATAGATGTTTCTTACACAGAAAAAAAATCAAACATAAAAATATACATGCGAACATAGACACATTTGAGAACACATAGACACAGATGTACACAAACAAACACATACATGTACATGTATACACACGCATGTTTATCAATAAAAGTTTACATCAAGGTTTAGTAAAATCATCAACAGGTGTGTTTGTATCACTCAAAAGGATTTTATGATAAATTGTGCCAGTAAATGAGCAACAAATAATATTCTCAAATATTACAAGAGATATTTGAACTCCAAAGCAAAACAGCTACATACATACAGAAGGTCTAAAAGCAGCACATGGCCTTTCTCTAAAGCATCCTCTCTAGAGTCAAGCAGGGAGTCGGGAACAAATGCAAAACAAAACAGGAAGCAGGAAGTTTTCACTGCAGTTTCATTTTAAAACAGTAACTTTTAAGACTGTGGTTTCTTTTGTAGCTCAGGCTAGGCTAGAGCTTCCTATGTAGGCCAGGCTGACCTCAAAACACGGGGTGACCCTCCTGCCTGTCTCCATTGTTCAGAATTCCAGGTGTGAGCCATCGTATCACTCTCAATACTTTAAGTGAGCAAAATGCCCATCAACAGGATTGAGTAAATGAATTTAACACATCCACATAGTCCAAAACTCTGCGGAGGGCCTATGTTCCAACACTGTGCGTCAGCCTTCTGTCTAAGTTGCATATGCGTAGAAAAATACTAGATGAGTGTTGGCAAATTTTGTGTTAAATTTTTACAACTGAAAAAAAAAATCTGTATTTCTAAAAGATGTATTATCAGTAGGGGCACTGTTCAGAGATGTGCTAGATGTAAAACTGGAGGAAGGCATTGACAGGTTGCATCATGGCCTCTTCTGTGTCCCAGGGATATTACTTCCACACTGAAAACCCCTTCAAAGACTGGCCTGGAGCGTTTGAAGAAGGCTTAAAAAGGCTGAAGGAAGGAGACCTGCCTGTCACCATCCTGTTCATGGAAGCAGCAATTCTTCAGGACCCTGGAGACGCTGAGGTAGTATTCCCACTCTGTCAGACTGGGGTAGTGCCTTGTAGACCAAGGGGTCAGAGGAGACAGATGGCTGCAGGGCACAGCTTCATCAAGGTTTACTAAGAGATTCACCTGGCTTGGGATGATCTTGTTCAAAAGCTGTATATCACCTGTTTTCTAACTGAGCTTCTAATCTTCAATATCCAGAGCCCCTAGAGGTAAAAAACTGAGGACAGGAAACACAAACAAAGAGCCTGGCATGGTAGTGTACGCCTTTGATCCCAACACTGGGGATGGAAGAGAGGCAGGCAGAGCTCTGTGAGTTCAAGGCCAGCTGGTCTACATAGAGAGGTCTAGGCCAGCCAGGGCTTCCGATTGAAACCAAATATGGCCTTTAAAAAAAAAAAATGACATACATGAGGCTCAGCCCATGTTTTGGGGGGAAGGAAAATGGCTTTTGTCTGGGTCTCAGGTCACACCATATATCATCCTTGATTTACTCATCCAACATTTACGGCACATCTACTGTAGCCTCAGGACTGCAGGAAGTCCTGGTGCAAAATGTTGAAGTGTTTGGGGAAATGTCCAGTAGTTAAGAAGACACCATTGTGGTGCCTCTAGAGAGATGAGTACATAAAGCAGGGAATCACAGTGGAGTACAGCCGGCAGTGAGTGGCTGGTCCTCCTCCAGGGAGCTTCCCCGTGATCAGGTTTACTCCCCACAGGGGATTGCAGCTAAACTAACTAAAATAGCAAGCAGCCTGCTTCATTTTGCAATGTTAACAGTCTGCTTCATGTTTGCTTATTTGTTTGTTTGTCTTCTTGTGTTGATTTGGTTGGGGTTTTTTTGTTTGCTTGGTTGGTTTTTTGTTTTGTTCTGTTTTCCAGGCATGGCAGTTTCTTGGAATAACCCAGGCAGAGAATGAAAACGAACAAGCAGCCATTGTTGCCCTCCAGAGGTAGATGAAGTTAAGTGCAAATTTTCGGGCTTGGGGGACAGCCTTTGCGCTCTTCCTGAAGTGTGTTGTGAAGAATTTGTCCAAGGCATATGCTGGGGTGTCAAATACCTCCCATTCATACATAGCTCTGATGGGGAAATTTCCCCCAAACGATTAAGAAGAATTTTCCCAAATACATATCAGCTCTTGTTCACTAGAACCAAAAAAAGTCTGTGTTAAGAGCAATCAGAAGTCAGACTCACTGAATCAATAAACCTTTCAATGCTCTAACCTTTTGCAATTCTCAAAAGTTTTCTAAAAAAAAAAAAAAGGTGCTCAAATTACTGACTGTGGAGATGAGGAGATGATGTTGGAGGGAGGGAAGGAGGGGCAGAGCATGAGTGTAGATTCCCCCACTTACCTGAGATCTCTCCTTTAAACCCTGTAATAAAACAGTTTCCATCAAACATACTTTCACTCTTCATGCCTTTCTTGTAAGTACTGACAACGCAATGCCATAGGAAGTGAATATAAACATACACATATGCTTAACATATTCCATATAACTATGCATGTTATGGATGTATGAAACCTACATGTATGTATGTAAGTTCTAGAACACCAGGATCTTAGAATGTTAGAATCCTAAGTACTTGGAGTTTGAGGATTTTATGTTCCCAGAACCCTACATCTCAAGATTTGGTTGCTATCTTGCAGTATAAGTTAACTGGGGTGTTGTGTCTTCCTTGAGAGCCATTTCCTGTAGCTGAGAGATACTAGGGATGAGAAAAGGCCAAGGCCTCATTCATCATGTGCAACAGAGACAGGACCTAAACCTCCATCCCATGCTGCAAGACCTGGAGCACTCTGAGTCAGTTGTTCCTACTCCTGCATGCCAAGGCACGCTGGGATTATTTCTTAAGATGCCTTAGACACTCCCAGAAATCATGATAGGCTTTGTCAGGACTGAGGAACCAAGCGTCATTAGCATTAACAGATCCGAGGGGATCGTGATGCGCACTCAGAGTTTGCGGCTGAGTTTCTGAGGCACTTGCTTCTCCACGCCTTAGCCAGCTCCTCCTGGCATTCCCATCATCTGCAGGCTGTCAAAGCATCCCACCCGAGGTCCTGCTGCAGCCCCCAGTGCTTGAATGTATGTAGTGCAAAGTTCCGGTTTTTCACTTTTAAGTTTGGAAAGTTCTGTTAGAGGCCAGTAGAAGGGAATTCAGGGGGCAATGATAGCCTGCATTCTTAGTCTAGGATCAAAAACATTACCTTCTCTTTTGCAAAACATTGTTCAGCCTTTCATCTATGAGCATCAAAATTTTGCTCAAGTCCAATTTAAGGGAGTTAAGATAACAGCTAAATTTAAGTGATGTTCTCTTTACACTATATAGCATCCAGACTTCCTGTGGCTTTAGAAAAGTTTATTAGCAAAACCAGAACTGGAAAATGGGCCCAGCATTTAACAGTACTGACTACTATTGCAGAGGACCCTGATTCAGTTCCCAGCACCCACATGATAGTTCACAACCATTTATAACCCCATTTCCAGGGGATACAGTGCCCTCTTCCGTATTCGATGGGCACCAGGCTCAAACATGGTACACAGATATGGATGCAAGCAAAACACTCATATACATAAAATAAGTATTTTTAAAAAAACAAAATCACAAATACAGATGTCCCTGGGATTTTTTTAACCTCTTTAGAAAACATCTTTGATCTGGGTTTTCATTTGGAGAGATAAAGAACTTTTCAGTGAATAAATTTAGCTTCCGCAATTCTTAATAAATGTTTGAAGGCTGCATAAACTGCTCCTCCTTCCCTCAAGGTGCCTGGAGTTGCAACCCAACAACCTGAAAGCTCTGATGGCCTTGGCTGTGAGCTACACCAACACCGGCCATCAGCAAGATGCCTGCGAGTCTCTGAAGAACTGGATCAAGCAGAACCCAAAGTACAAGTACCTTGTGAAGAACAAGAAAAGCTCTCCAGGCCTCACTCGGAGGATGTCTAAGTCCCCAGTTGACAGGTGGCCCTCATTCTATGTAGGATTCTTCTACCACTGTGACAAAAATGCCTGAAATAAAGGGAAATAACGCCTATTAAGGGGAAAGGTTTATTTTAGCTCACATTTTTAAAGTGTTAGACAATGGCCAGTTGGCCCTATTGTTTTTAGAACTGTGGGAGGAACAATACATCGATGTAAAAGCACACGGCTGAGAAACTGGCTTGCCTCATGTGACTGGGAAGCAAGGGGACTGTCACGGTTCCCCTACCTCCTTCAAGCCCTGCTTCCGTGGCCTGACTTCCTTCCATCAGCCCCACTCTCCAAATCTTTGACCACCTTTTCTAGTGTTGTGCTTTGGGTTGGGGGGGACACACATCTAAACCACAGAAGGTGTTCTTTAGATGCGATGACCGGCGTTATGGCCATCCATAGATATTTACCAAATACTGTATTTCAAAGCCAGGTGCTTTGGAATTAATGCCAGTACTCAGAGAACTAGGGTTGCATAAACATAAGTCTTCTGTTAGAGGAAGTCTGTTCTCTAAAATTTTAGCAATCAACCCCAATGCTAACTCCTTCTCACTGAATGCTGGGTGAGCTCGGCTTCAAGGACCAAACCACGGCAAGCACAGGGTTAGCAGTGCTCTCCCCATGAGAACCTTAACATGGCTTATATATATGTTTTATTGCATGTTCATGACAATTGACTGTGTTGTTTTTATAGTTCAGTATTGATAGTCCTCTCATTAAGCTAAGATAGATATGCATTTTTTTTATGCGTAATCATTTTGCCTGGGCACCATGCGGGTGCTGGGAACCAAACCCAGGTCTTCCACAAGAGCAATAAGGACTCTCTTAGCCACTGAGCTGTTGCTCCAGGCCTGAACTATTTTAAGGAAAATTTTTCAGTCTGGAGTGGCTTAGCAGTTAAGAGTTCTCTTCCCAAGGCCCCAAGCTCAGTTCTCAGCAGCCTTATCAAATACTGCACAACCACCTGGGACTCCGGCTCCCGAGGCTCCGGCTTCCTGGGCACTGAGCCAGATTCTTCTTTCACAGCTCTGTTCTGGAAGGAGTGAAGGAACTATACCTGGAAGCTGCCCACCAAAACGGCGACCTGATCGACCCAGACCTGCAGACTGGTCTCGGAGTCCTATTCCACCTGAGTGGGGAGTTCAACAGAGCAATTGATGCATTTAACGCTGCCTTAACTGTTCGGCCAGAGGTAAGGAATCCTAGCACAGCAAAAACATCCTGGGAATAGGGAGGTGGGGTTGTAACAAACAAGCTTTCCTGGGCAATCCTCTGTACGTTCCTTCTGCATTTTCCCTCTGCCAATGGTGATTTCAACGGCATTTTAATGGTGATGAGATACCATACCAAAATCCCTAAAATGAAAAGGCTAATGAGAAGATAGCAAATGACCACGGCTCTTTGAGGAATAGAAAACCTTTTCACCAAGGTAACCAGGGAGAATTTTTTAAAATAATTTAACCCACTACAGATCCTCTTCATGAGCGCCAAAAAGGCATTCAGCCATTTTGCTTCACCTGCAGAGGGTTGTGGGAGCACTACCAAGTTGCTCCTGGGTATGAAAGAGCTCTGGTCTTTGTCATAGGATTACTCATTGTGGAACCGTCTTGGAGCAACCTTGGCAAATGGAGACCGCAGCGAGGAAGCTGTGGAGGCCTACACAAGAGCACTGGAGATTCAGCCAGGTTTCATCCGGTCCAGATACAACCTGGGGATCAGCTGCATCAATCTGGGTGCCTACAGGTGACGTATGCCTGGGTTCAGACACGCTACGGGGGCCCAACACCCGCGTAATTCTGCCTCAACTGTGAATAGTCCAACCTTTAATTTTTCCACTGAAGGAAAAAGGAACCTTGGAGAAGGATAAAGCCAACGGGACCTAGTAAAACGGCCTTCAATGAAAAATTACCCTTGTTCTAAGCCTGATGTACAGACAGAATTAGTTGGGATGTTTAGGAAGGGGATTCTTCCTAAAGTTAGGAAGGGGATTCTTAATGATGGATTATTTAAAATGTCCTGGCATAGTCATGGGTCCAAAAAGCTGCACTGTCGTTGAGGAGCCTTGTAGCTCAGCTGGTCCCACCCCCGGTCTCAGGGTCCCTTTATACTTACACAAATGATAAAGCCTTTGGATAACATGAGTTTTATCTATCAGAAAGTAGATTAGAGCATTTTAAAACATTCCTTGGGAAGCAATAAAGCCTTGCATATCAACAGAAATAGCGTGCTTTGCAAGAAAATCATGGCTTGACAAGACCAAACTGTGCCAAGAAAGAATAATAGCACCGCGTTATGGTTTGGAAAAAATCATGTAACATCTTCCTTACTTAGAAGCCTTTTCCTTCTGCCTTTGAATTCTGTCTGTTGGGCTATCTCACATGCAGTCTCAAGGCGTGAGCAGGTGAGGTGAGCAATGAGGAGGTGAAAGTGGAAAGGTCAAGTGCTGCCCAGGTTTTGTAATGAAAATCCTTTGCCTTACCAGCCCCAGGCTCCCCAGACCACACTTTGAAAACTATTGCTCTTAACCGGAAGAGCTTCTACATAAATTAGCTACATAAATTAGCTCCAGGGCACTTCACATCGAAATTCGAAAATGCCTTCTCCTACCCCAATTATTCACTTTGGGACTGAACCTCAGCAAAGAAATTTGCCTCAGGCTCAACAGCTGGGCTGAAGCCCAGGTGGTAGATTAATGAAATCCAGCCCCTTAATTCTGTCCCTACTAGGCAAATGTAGACTGCTTTGCTTGGGGAGGGATCATTTTTTTCTCTTAAAGACAGGTTACACAGATCTCTTCTGCACACAGGTCACATTTCCATGTCATTCCTGGAGCAGGGGAGATGCATCAGTATTGGCCCCCTCCTCTATACTCCCAAAGTAAAACTGGCCATTGTTTTCTCTTTCTGGCCCACCATATTTAACAATAGCTGTTCACAAGAAAATAGCTAGAGAACCAACCGGAAAGTCGTGCCCAGGGAGACCTAGGGCTCCACACAGGAACACCTTAATCTGTTTCTTTAGTATGCTGACTCTAGAATTCATGGCATTTTAAGATGTGCCTTTCTCCCCTTTTAGAGAAGCTGTCAGCAACTTTCTCACCGCCCTCAGTTTGCAAAGGAAGAGCAGGAACCAGCAACAAGTCCCTCACCCTGCCATCTCGGGGAACATCTGGGCTGCCCTCAGGATCGCACTGTCGTTGATGGACCAGCCAGAACTCTTCCAGGCAGCCAACCTCGGTGACCTGGATGTTCTCCTGAGAGCTTTCAACTTGGATCCTTGAAAGAAGAGGAAAAAAAAAATAAAGAATAATAAGCCCTCATCTGTGTGATTATACTAAAAAGGGACAAAACTATTTTATTATGAATTTCCAAAAAAAAAATTTTTTAAGGATAAAGCAGAGAGTCAAAGGCCATGGTCATATAACCCAAGGGAATTGATTCCTACAGACAATACCCAGCCTCTGTTCAGACCCAAAAGCACAAAGTCAGGTTCAAGAGAAGAACTGAGATTCTCAGGACAAATCGAGATAAGGTAACTGCACTCTTCCAGGTTGCAAGCAGACTTTGAGTTGTGCTATCCTCGTCACAGCTGATGGCACATCTGACAGGTGTTCATGGACATAGCAAGACAATTTGTCTGCAGTCAGTGAACTCAGGCTGCCTCTAAACTGTCTCCCCTTTTTGCAAGACTGACCAGTAGTTTGGGCCATTGGCACACGCACACGAACACCCTGACTAAAGGCAGGCATTGCTCCCCTCCTCCCGTTTCAACTTTTACTGTAAGCCTTTGTTTCCAGAGAGAGAGAGCTTTGCTGGCAAAAGCAGTTTTTGCACTAGAAGTTTTTGCTGTTCCCAATGAAATCCTTTCTAGGATTGTATATAAGCACTTTAATATCTTATTTATGCCTTGCTGGGCTTCTGCCTTGCTGCTCCAGTTTCTAACTTGGGGGTTGGGGGGAGGGGCGGTAAAAGAATTGAGAACTCAGACTTGTTAGCTCAATGGACCAAATAAAAAATTCTAAGACTAGTTTTTCTTAGCGTAGGGTTTTTGAAGGTGTGTTGGCATAGAATGTAGGTATGTTAAACCCAGTTTGGGGGTTTTTGTTTGTTTGTTTGTTTGTTTGCCTGCTTTCTGGGACTCTATGGATCTCAGTGGGAAGCAAAATTCTGACTCTGCAGAAGGAAGCTTGGTGATTCTGCAGTTTCTAGTGAGTTTGTGTTAACTTGTTTTCATATCCTGTTTTCCTGGCTTCCTAACTGCCTTGCACAAGTATGTATGTTTTAAACTGTTACTATTTTAAATGGTATTTCTTAAGTGTGATAAATACATTTTTCCTAAAGCTGATATGTTTCCTGAGTTCCATAGTAACCCATACTGTCCACCTCCTCACAGTGTGGGGGACAGAAGGCCACATTGTAACCAAGCTACACAGCTCTTCTCTGAAAGAGGCCCTCACAGCTTCCTCCCTATTTTAAACACTCAGCAGGAACCAGGCCTTCTCATTGGCTGAGACATTTTACTTAATTGTTGACCTTCCACATATTTGTTTAGATTACTTTGAGGGTATTTGGAGCTTGGTGGTTATTTCAAAAGATGTGTTTATAAAGAATTGGGGAAAAAATGTTGGTGAATCACTAGCCAAAATACCATTTTCCTCAGCTCTAATTCTAGTAGATGCTCTACTTTTCATTTTGCCCCCTTCCTGCCTCCAGGGTATTCCTTAAAGTAGTCTGATCCCAACTTTTTCATGTGCATTGCTTAGTAATAACTCATTCCACTAACAATTGTAGTTACCACAAACTATATTTTGGGTCAAAGCAGATTACCTGACTGTAGAATCATCTACCACTGATGAAAAAGGTACCCAGAGGTTGATTGAACTCTCCTTTCACTGTGGAGTTCCCTAGATTGTGAGAGGTCTGAAGCGCACAGGTGACTACAAGCCCTGGGACTTAGCTTCCTGGCTTACAAGGTCAAGGTGGTGAGGGCATGGGAGGAGGCACGGGAGTGCCACCAACTTTGCTCCCTATAGCCAGACACAGAGCCATTAGCGCATCCGTTCCTGGGCACGGAGACAACTCATGTGCTTTCTAATAATAGTCTGGGCAGCAAAGGAGAGCTCAAATGTATTTTGAAGAGCAGAATTTTCTAGACTGTTAGATTGGGAAGGCCTCTTTGGGCCAAGCACTGCCTGCTTGGACGCTGCTGATGGTGTAGCGATTATTTCTCCTCCCTCCTCTTAACTGTCACCTGACCACCTGATGTGAGACCCTTCCGAGCCTGTGCACAAAGAGTTAAAGCAGACTTCATGACCCTTCTGCTCTTGACGCTGTCCCGGCCCTCGGATAGTGACCTACCACATCCTCGGCCTTGTCACCACGTCACACCAGAGCTCAGTCACAGCCTAGCTAGTACAAAGGTGGGCAGTTTGAATTCATTTGATTGCTGCTCAGTAGTGTCAACTCTCGTGGCCCAAGTTTATCTTGTCATTGGAATGCCAAGTAACATCAAACCCCAGGAAGTTATTTTTGGGGGCAGTTGACAGTTTTCCGCTTCGCCATTGTGTGACAGTCTGTAGGACATTAGCTGGGCCTTTATGCACTCCTTCAGTTATGTTCATCACAATCAAGATTTTTATTGGCTACCGTCTGTCAGGAAGTTCCAAATTATTGCCTAAGAGGAAAAGAGCTGAGATTTTCAGTGTTATCATAACAATGCTAAGTAAACACCAATAAAAAGTAAAAGTTAGAATAAAGCCACAGCAGACACTACACAGTGAGCCTTCGGTCTCTTCCGTCCCACACAGTGTCTGCATCTTCTTTCTATTTGCTTTTAAAACCCAGAACCATTGGGAGCTTTTCATCTTTATGGCAAGAAATTGCCTTTTCTCTTTCCATTTAGAAGAGTGGGGCATTCTTTTGAGGCCCTGGGGAGGAGCCTGGGGATGCTATTCATTCATATAATGGCCACTCAGTGGCTTCCAGGGACTGATTTTGCCAGTGATTTGGATGAAAATGCAGAGAGAAACATTTGAAACTGCTGAGTTTCAAAATGTTACAAGTTCTGATAGGACAGCTCTTCTATGCAAAGAAAAGGCATCATAAAGGGGACCTGGGGATAATAGCTCAATGGGTACGGTGCACCCAGGACCACATAGACTGACCATGGTGGCGTACACCCATCATCCCAGCACTTGGGAAGTGGAAGCAGGAAGATCAGGAGGACAAGGTCATCCTGGGCTGTAAGAGACCCTTTAGAGATGAGGAGTAATGGACCTTCTCACTGAGTCAGTCTCAGTGAGTCTTTGTTTCTCTGCACTTCATCCTGACATCCCTCCCAACGACCCACTGGAAATTTAATAACTAACAATGAAGTGCACTTTCTCAGCCAGTCTGATTTCTGCCAGAACTGGGTTAGGAATGTTCAGAAAACACTCACTCTCCGACTTTATACGCCATTTTCATTTATATTGAGGGATTATCTTGACACTTAGATATTAGATCAATATCCAAATTCTTTTATAGATAAATCATTCTGGCATATTCCCACCCTACAGGCAAGATTTGACTGGGATTGTAGGTTCATCTCACAGTTCCCAAACCTCTCAACATAAAGTCTGATCTTTTCTCCTGGGGAAACCAGAGAAAAGAGGATGACCATTCCTCATTTGTCTTGGAATTGCTTTCACAAGGATGAATTGCACTTACATTAGTGTTGTGATGGTAATGATTTTTCCCTACCCTGACATGCTTCTAGAAGCATTGTAGGTACCAGGTGTTTGGAATATTTGTGTGCCATCTTTCTGAGACCTCTTATTTTGGAAATGAGTACACAGGCAACAACCCATGACTTCAACCTTGTAACATAGCTTCAAACTGGTTCCCTGTGCAGATGTCCCTGCCCTACTCATCTCACTATTTATAGGACTGGCTGAATTAAGCTGTTTTGAACTAAGAAGTAGATACATATATTTTTAAAGAGTGTTCCTAGATCAACTCTGGCATAAAGTTTGTAGAAAGGCAATTTTTTTAAAAAAGCAAGACATATAACCTCAGGTACAAAACTATTGCATGCATCAGTACTTAAGATCTGCCTATGACTATTAACCAAAGCATGCAAGATAACTTCACTGAATGTAAACTGGCCCATTCACCCCATGCATGACTGGTGTCATAGGCTAGCTTGTGTCGTCACTCTTCTCGACAAGCAAGCACTTCCTAATGTCATCCCAATCTTTTCTGTTTGCTTTTTCCATCCCATCCTGTAGATTGTTGGCCTGCTATCACGTTGGCATTGATCAGTGCTCACAGGTTAGTTCATACACTGTGACCGCCAGTCCCACCCTCTTGAGAGACCCAGATACAGACGTGGGTCCTTTAAAACCCACTTGAGGCTCAACAGAACTGAAACTGACAAGGCTGCACAATTGTCCCCGAACGAGAAGCTCTGAGCTCTGAACTCTTAATAAAATGTACTTCAAGTTTTCTTTTCTGAAAGTTTAGGGGAAAATAGAAAACATTTGGCATTCTAAATTATGTAGGAAGGTTAAAGTGATGTCATGCGCATGAAGATCACCCTGAGGCAGAGCGGACATGGGCCCCTCGTTTCTCACTGGGATGGTATGTCACAGGGTAGAGTGGAGAATATTGTTCAACAGCAAAGGTCAGTGTCCCTCTCTCTCAAGAAACTAGATTTGACCAACCTGACACTCATATGCAGGGATAGGAGATGATTTTGTAGCCAGTGGAAATGCCTTTTCTCTGTCTTTTTCTGTAACCCTGTTTTACAAAAGGGCCAGGAAAGGAGAGATTAAAGCTCGGTTCAGAGAGCCTGATGCTGAGAGCAGCGCTCCAATGGTACAGTGCTTGCCTCCCATGCACAAAGCTCTGGGTTTGATCCCACACAGCATTCAAGTGGGCACCATGACACACATCTGTAATCCCGGCAAGTGGGAGGTGGAGGCAGAAAGATTAAGTAAGAACCCAAGGTCCTTCTTGGCCATACAGAATTCAAGGCCAGCTTGTGCTGTGTAAGACACTGTCTCAAAAAGAAAAGAAAAGAAAAAGACCGTTAGGTCATGTGCAGAACAGCTTTCGTAGTGCCCCATACCCTCCCACCAGACAACCCTAGGAGTCTAAACTACCCTTTCCCCACATACAGAAAGACCCTGTTGTAGAGACAGTCGACAATGAGAGGAAAGCAATATTAGTTTCTCACACTTCACGTACATGCTGCAGTTACTGCAGAAATACCAAATAAGATGGTTTAGAGAACAGTGCCCCGACCTCCAGGCCTCCTGAACAAGAGAAGGAATAGCCGAGTGTCCCTTGGTGAGACATAAGAATGGTCCTGCAAAACTTCACTGAAAATGATAATAAGATGAAAAAGAACAGGGAAGCCGTTCTTAGCTAAACTGTACAATGTGCACCTTTGGCTTTGGCTTTGGCTTTGGCTCTTCTTTGAATTTATGGGAGAGGGAAATGGCATGCACACAGTAGATAACTTGGATAGCTGCCATCTGAATTGTGCCATGTGATGAGTGTGTTCATGGCCTGCTATGTTAGCCTCAGTGAAAGGACATACCACAAGCTTAATTTATCAAATTCTTTTCTTTTCCATATATCATCTGACCCAAACCATCCTCAATTTTCATTATCCAAATTTGTTTACATTAGTTGAAAAAAAAATAACTGATTAATTCAGTAAACTTTTTACAAGCTACAAGAAGCATTTACTATTTAGAAACATTTCTATCTATTTTGTATATCTGTGAATACTGCATATCTGATCTAACCTAAGAATTGTGTTTCAAGAAAAGTGCCATGATGCTCCCTTATTGTGCTCAATGTTTAAAATCTTGGGATGTCAACGTCAAGCTGAAATAGGTAACAGAAAAACTTAAGTTTAAATGTTTACACTGAATTTCTAAATATCAACCCTCGAATTAAGCGATCAGTAGTCAATTAATGGCAATGGAAGGCTTGAATATATTGGCATTTTATGAGACATTTCTGTGGCATAGTGAATGACATGGAGCCTACTCTGCTGTGTAGTAAGCCTTCATTATAGTTGTTCTCTGCATTGCCTTCTGAAATAAGACTATTACAAACATAACCACGTATCCTACTGAAGTGATAATTCACTCAAATGACTTATAACTTGCAATGTACTGAGCTTAGGGTACTGTGTTTATACTTTATTAAAGGCACGCCTTCCTTTTTCACATTATTAACCTGTATTTACATTTGTGCAGTTTTAAACTATGTTTCCAAATAAACTTTGTCTGTGGCTTCATGGTCTTTTCAGGACTCCCTTAAGATTTGAGGATTTGGGGATCAGACCACTTTAAGTCAAATAGAAACCAATTACTACTGATTTAAGAAAAAGTCATTTTGTTGAGTACCACTACATATAATTTTGCATGAATTATCTGGAAAGCAGGAATGCATTTGTAGATAAAGAATAAACCTTGAAAACCATTTTCCTTTGTTAAATTTTTAAGACTAAAATATTAACCTGAAATTGAAATTTGTGATCTTTTTAGAATAAAAGCATTAAAATGGGTGTCACTTCAGAGTCTTTCTTGGAAGGGGATCAGTCAGATAATAAATAATTTGAACACTGACTACAAGCAGGCTTCATTCTAGTGTAAGACACACCTAGACTATAATAATAAGAAGCTGTGGGCTGGGGAGCCACTCAGGAGCAAGAGTGAGGTCGAGACGTGTCCAAACCCCCAGAAATCTCATCCTGAGATCTCAGCAGGAATAAGACTGCTCCCTCCCTATCCCAGGCCTGCATGCCCCAGCACACATCCCTACCCTAACCAACCCCCTGGGTGGAAGGGGGAGGTCACATAGCCTGGCAGCCAGGTTAAGCTTCCTTTCTCCTTATAAGGTCACTGCCAGCAGGGACCCTGTGCCACACCCACTTGCACCCAGCTGAGCTCCCCTCGCCCCCAGTGCAGCTCCGTGCGGGGGTGGGGGGGGGAGGGCAGAAACAGGGTGGCAAGAAATGGTGCCCACCAAGTGTGGGAATGAGGCAGTGAGGTATTATGAAAGGACTTGGGTCCTTATTTCCATGGAGTCAGAAAATAGGGACGTGTGGGCTCAGATTCTAACCAAGAACCAGCCAAATGGAGTTTGGGGACAATATTCCTGGAAGAATCAACAGCTAGTGAACAGCATCAAGGTGGGAATGAGCTTGGTGTGTGCGCAGGAGGGAGACTGAGGTGGCAAGGGCTAAAAGCAGGGAGGTTTCAGGAGATGCCAGTGAGGGTGAGGGATCCAGGGAGACCTTCTCAGAGCAGGGCAAAGGGCAGAGCTGAAGCCTGAAGCCCTGTTTCCAACCCTGATGCCAGTTTCCAAAAGGAAGTCCTCCCAGCCTGCTCAGGTGGACAGCGAAGGTAGTCAGAGAGGGCGAGGAAGGACACTCACGCCTTCTCTTCACTGCTTTTTCTGGATCTCACTCAGCCTTGGTGTCCTCCATTCCTTCCTCCAAGATGTCAAGTCGTACATTCCCCACCACCCCCACTTCACTATTGAGTAATACAGCACACGAATATGTCATCCAGTGGGGAATGGAGCTTTACTCCCACCTCAGATCAATTTGATGCCTTTTCTATTTGTTATTTAATGAATTCTTTTAGTTTACATCCTGGTCAAAACTTCCCCTCTCTCCTCTGTGCCCAGTCCCTCCCTCTCACCTCCCATCTCTTCCCACTATTCTCCTCCCCTTTCTTCTCAGAGAAGAGGAGACCTCCCATGGGTATCAACTCACCTTGGCATATTAAGTAGGACTGAGCCCATCTTCTATTGAGGCTAGACAAGGCTGTGCAATTAGGGGAAAGGGACCCAAAGACAGGCAACAGAGTCAGACAGCCCCTGCTCCTGCTGTTAGAGGTCCCACACGAGGACCAAGCTGTGCATCTGTTACATATGTTGGGGGGGGGGGGCCTTGATCCATCCCATGAATGCTCTCTGTTGGTGTACTTGCACAGAGGAAGCTAGCATAACTATGATCTGAGAGGCTTCACCCAGCAGCTGATGGAAACAGAAGTGGAGACCCCCAGCCAAACATTAGGTGGAGCTTGGGGAATCTTATAGAAGAGGAAGGAGAGGTCAAGGAAAACCCACAGGAAAACCCACAGAATCAACTAACCTGAGCCCACAGGGGCTCACAGAGACTGAACTTGTTGCTTTTTTAAAGGTTTCCTACCTCCACTTTTTAAACATCAGCCATACTTCCTGTTATTCCAGAAAGAGCTGCTTCTCTCCACGAGCATTTAAAATCAGCCAAACGTTTAAAGCATCCTTCACGATTTTATTTGTGTGCGTACATGTTCCTGTGTGTAGGCATGGAGGTGGGTGGTGCTTGTGGAGGCCATGGGTCAACCTTGGGTGACTTTCTTTACATGTAAAATCCCACCTTTTGTGTGTGTGTGTGTGTGTGTGTGTGTGTGTGTGTGTGTGTGTGTCTGTGTGTCTGTGTGTTTGCCTGTGTGGTGTGTGTCTCTGTGTGAGGGGGGTGTGTGCTGTGGTGTGTATGTGCTCACCTGCAGAGGCCAGCAGAGGACGTCAGATCTCCTGGAGCAGGAATGACAGGCCTTCATGAGATCTCCTGATACAGGTGCTAGGAATTGAACTTCCTGGTCCTCTACAACAGCAGCAAGCATTCTTATCCCGGAGCCTTTTTTTTTTTTTTTTCTTTTGAGACAGGGTCTCTCTCTGAGCCTGGAGCTCACCAATTCAGCAAGACTCTCTGGTCACTGTGTCTAGGTTTCTGCTTGTCTCTGCCTCCCAGCACTGGATCACAGGTAAGCACCACACTTGGCTTTTTATGCAGGCGCTGGGAATCTGAATTTAGATCCTCATGCTTGTGTGGAAAGCACTTTCCTGACTGAGCCATCACTCCAGCCCCCCTTTATCTTTTTTTTTTAATTTTGTTTTTATTCACTTTACATCCTGGTTGTAGCCCTATCCCCCTTCCCTTCCCAGGCCCACCCACCTTCCTTCCCCTTTCTCCCTTTGCCTCTTCCTCAGAAAGGGGGAGCTCCCTTTCCCATCCACCCAACCTCATCAAGTGGCATCAGGACTGAGTGTTCTCTTCCCCTGTGGGAAGGCAGTCCCGTAAGGGGAGAGGGATCAAAAGCTGGCAAGTGGGTCCATGTTTGATACAGGCTCCACTTCCCTTTCTAGAGAACCCACAGGAAGCCTAAGCTGCCCGTCTGCTGCATCTTTGTGGGGGGCCTAGATACAAACTGAAGAAGATATCAGAAGATGGAAAGATGTCCCTCTTTATTCTTTACAGGTCTCCCTAAACTATGCAGAAAGCAGCTGCAAGTTTGTCTGTTATTATGTTATCATCATCATCATCATTTAGTACTAGTACTAGTTCTAATTTTACATTCCACAAAAAACAAAACAAACAACAACAACAACAACAACAAAAAACACTGCTTCCTGGCTGGTTTGGTTTCATCTGTTTCAAGGGTTTTGTTTTGTTCTAGAGTAGTTTGGTTTGCATTGGGTTTTGGTTTTGCTGTTTTGTTTTTGTTTTCCATGCTGAGGATTCAACCCAGAGTTTTGCGCATGCCAGGCAAGGACTTCATGACTGAAATACTGTAGCCCCTGGCAATCATATCCATGCACCTGCATTTGGGGAAATGATGGATAATT